TACGGTCAACCTCAATATACGCAGCCTGGCCCTCCGGCACCGCCTCCCAACTATGGGGGTGGCTACGGTAGCGAAAAACCCATGTTCGATCAAGCCTTCAAACTCGAGCGTCCGAAATACAACGACTTATGGGCCGGCATCCTCGTGCGTTTCGTCTGTGACTAGATATCTTGGTTGAATGCTGACGAATCTAGTTCCTAGCTGTTTTCGCAGGCTACGTTGTAGTCTCGGGCATTTCCATCAACGGCTATGGTCAGTGAAATTATCGCTTGCAAGTAGGCTGCCAGTTTTCATCCAGACTAACCAATAATAGCCTCCACGAAAGACTTCCAAGGAGATGGCATCTACGATTCTGGGTCCAGCGTTGGACTGAATACGAACACTCTCATCCTGTTCGTCTTCTGCCTCTGCGTCGCTATTGTGTTCAGCTACGTTTACGTCCTGCTAGCTCGCCAGTTCCCTAAGCAATTCATCTGGATAACGTAAGTCTCTCAGATGAACTTTTCGAAGGAAATAATACTTACATGAATCGTTTTAGTGGTATCCTCAATATTGTGTTTGGTCTTGTGACAGCAATCTATATGTTGTCACGCCACTATTACTCGGGCGGCATCGTCTTCTTAATCTTCGTCGCCTTCCTCATTTTTGCCTTCATAGTGAGTCTTTGACCTTATGCCTGGTTGTGCTCCTACTCTCTAACCCCTTTAGACTTGGATCCCACGCATTCCTTTTAGCGCTCTCATGCTGAAGACCGCTGTTGATGTTTCCAAGAGTTATGGTCATGTCTATCTGGTCAGTGCACTCGGAGGGCTCTGCGCTACTGCACTCGCTGCATGGTACTCGGTCACCTTCGTAGCTGTGTATGCAAAATATTCTCCGGGCCAAAACCCGGCCTGCGCCCAAGGCGTAGGTGGTTGCAGTAGAGCCAAGGTCAACGGTTTACTCGTATTTATCACCTTCGCTATGTACTGGATTTCGGAATGGTTGAAAAACACTATCCATACCACCATCTCTGGGGTCTACGGGTCTTGGTACTTTCACCCTCAGAACCTCCCGCGTGGGGCTACTCGAGGTAGTCTGAGAAGAGCACTTACCTACAGCTTTGGATCCATATCTCTCGGATCCCTCCTCGTGGCCATCATCAACTTTCTGAGACAGCTGTGCTCTGTCGCTCAACAGCAAGAGGCATCTGGCGGAAACATCGTTGGAGTGATCATGTTCTGGATTCTTGGGTGTATTATTGGAATCTTGGACTGGGCTGTGCAATTCCTTAATCGCTACGCCTTCTCATACATCGCCTTGTATGGCAAGCCTTACTTCGCCGCCGCCAAGGATACATGGGCTATGATCAAGGACCGTGGTATCGATGCTCTTGTCAACGAATGCCTCATTGGTCCAGTCCTCTCTATGGGGGCGACCTTCGTCGGCTATGCGACAAGCTTGCTAGCCTACCTGTATCTCGTAAGAACACACTCGTATCAATATGGTACGTCAATGGCTCACTAACATTCTGTTCCAGGTATTCACCCATCCCGCATACAATGCCGACGGCTCCTACACACCAGGTAAGCTTCATACCCTTGTTTTTTGGTGTCTAAGAATAGAGCTTTTCTTCATATGTACTTAGGGTACATTGCTTGACTAATTGACTAACACCCGTTTTACTTAGTTGTGGTGGCCTTCGCGTTTCTCATTGGCCTCCAAATCTGCAATATTTTCACGACTCCCATAAGCAGCGGCATCGATACGATATTCGTCGCAACGGCATGGGAGCCACAAGTACTAATGCAGAATCACCCCGACTTGTACGACGCGATGGTTCGGGTCTATCCGCAGGTCCAAGTCGCCATCCATGCTTAAGTATTTCGTCGATGGCAAGCAACGACACGGTTTGGAGTACCCATACTCCATTGCATCGCGGGTAAAATGGTTACATTCCTGAAATTGAATAATTTTACATGTTTAATCTAGCTTAATAGCATTTATGGCATTACGGTTTTGTCGTGATACTTTGAAAAGTGACGATGCCCCTTAAGAGCAGCAGGCAAAGAAATAAGGGTCCTATTCCTTGGCTAGGTATGCAGCTAGCTTGATCGAGCCAGGGCTGACCTGTTGTATCACCGGATTCCTTCAAGCGAGATTGGCTTACTCGAGTGGATCTAGGCTACAAGTCCGGTTTAGTTAGCGAGAGGCGTCGACACGACCGGCGTGGGCATACCTTTCTTACCTTTCCATTTACCTAGGTAGGTGCTAATTCTCGATGAGATCACTCCGCAAACTAGGCAGTAAACGCCAGGCAACGATGCCCATTACTTGGAGACGAGAGAATGCATCTGGCGGTATATTAAGACGGCGAGGTCTACGGTGACCTTGATATAGAAGATCAGTCACACGTACTGTCATTTACTCTCCAGTGTCGTTACAAGGAAATCTGCTAGCTTTAAAAGCTACACGGCGTGACGATAGCACACCATGTCTAACAGAAACCCGTTCTCGACCCTATTAGAACAACATGATCTGACGGCTAGACTGGCCGTCCTGCAGCCGGCTGCCAATCGAAATGATCCGATTGAGCTTACTCTCACAGAGGCAGAGTTGAAGAAGACTTCGTACGAATGTATCTCGTACGACCGCTCGTCGGGGACTGCTGCTGCCGCCGATAACACGGTGAAAGTGGTAGTAGATGGTGAGGAGCAAACTATCCCTAAGCAGCTTGAGAGTGCATTGCGCACATTCCGGCGTAAGGAGAGGCCGCGCATCTTTTGGGCCGACATCCTGGTGGGCCGTACGGTAGAGGAGCGAAGCGCACAAGCAAACCTCCAGCGCCATGTTCTGGAAAACGCGGAACGAACCCTGTGCTGGCTGGGCCCGGACAAAGGAGAATCCACAGCCAAGGCCTTCGAGACCATCCATGAGATGGGCCGGCGCTTCACCGAAGCCTGTCGGCAAGTCGGTATGGGACCCGACGAAAGCTTGAGCAGCATGACTGTGCAGAAAATGATGGGGCTGCGGGAGCGGCTCCTCAACTGCCCCTTTGATGATCTGAACTCATTTGACTTCGCGCTCTGGCGCGAGATCTACGACATCTTCGGCGCGCCATACTGGAAGTCCGTCCAATGCGTATCCGAGATCGTGCTGGCCCGCGCGCCCATCATCGTGTGCGGCCGGAGCAACATCCGGTGGCACCAGTACATCGCCAGCTCGAGCGCCATGCCGCTGTACCAGGCCATGTTCTTCAGGGTCCCGCTGCTGCCGCACGTGTTCAAGGGCTTCGAGATCGCCAACGAGATCGAGATCGCGGAGCGCAGGCGGCGCCTCGGCCAGTCCATCGAGCTGCTGCCCATGATCCAGACGGCGCGGGAGTGCCAGCCCGCGGACCCGCGCGACAGCGTCTTCTCCATGCTGCACATCGCGGCGCCGTCCGACCGCGTCAAGTTCCACGCCCGGGGCCCGCAGCCCCTGCCCGCGATCGACTACGCGAAGACGCCGCAGCAGGTCTTCGTCGACGCCGCGCGGTACGCGATCCTCGAGCGCCAGGACCTCATGCTGTGGTACGCCGAGCGGCCGCCGTGCGCCAGGCGCCTGAAGGGCCTGCCGAGCTGGGTCCCGGACTTCGGCGCCGTGGCGCCCAAGACGGGCGGCCTGTTCAACCCCAACGCCGGCATGCGGCGCTGGTGGGACGAGATCCGGCCCGCGGGCGCGCGGAAGCCGATCACGGTATCCGCGGACGACGCGGTGCACCTGCAGGCGCGGCCGCTCGACCGCATCGTGCGCGTGTCGCCCATCTTCACCGCGGGCAACGCGCGGCGGCTGTGCTTCTCCGAGTTCAAGAAGATGCTCGACAACACTTCTTCCACCCCTAATTCCACGTCTTCCTCTCCTCACTACGCAAACGAAACCCCGGACCAGAAAGCAGACCGCTTCTGGCGCACGCTCATCCTCAACGCGGTCGGAGCCCAGGGCGCCAGCGCCTCGTTCCGGGACAGGGCGGCGCCGGCGGCGTCGCTGGGCGCGCACTTCCAGAGCCTGGTGGCGGAGGAGGGGATCCTGGCGGCGCTGGACTGCACGATGGCGGACCTGCAGAGGCCGGAGAACGCGGCGCGCATGCGCGACTCGCCCGCGTTCATGGCGCTCGTTCCGCAGTGCGGGCGGGCGGGGCCGTACGAGGCGCTGCTGGTGAAGCACGCCGTCGGGCGGCGCTTCTTCCGGACCGAGGGCGGGCGGTTCGGGATGTCGGCCGTGGAGGACGTGGTCGCGGCCGATAACAGCTTGGCTGGGGAGGAGGAGAGACAGGAGGGAGAGAACAGGGCCGCGGCGATTACGGACGTAAGCCAGGTGACGGAGGAGGACGCGCGCAGGGCGGACATGGGCCGCTTGATGAACGACCCCGTGGGCCGCAGCATGATGGAGGGTTTCCAGCAGTACCTCAACCAGCGGGACCCGGAGGCCGCGCGGATCGCCGCGAGGGCCATGCGCGGCGAGATACCCGGCATCAACGAGGACGAGCTGGTGCGTACCGACGGCGGCGCGCGGGCGGGCGATCTCGTCGTCGCTTGCGTGGGCGGGTTCTTCCCGTATATCCTGCGCCCGCGACCCCTAGCCCAACCCCAGCGCGGCGAGGCGGAAGCAGGGGTAGTTAGTCAGACCGAAGCCGGCAGCGTCCGGCCGGAAACTAGGGAGAGCGAGCGAGACGCGGCTACGTACGAGTATGTGGGCGAGTGCTACCTGCACGGGGCGATGGACGGCGAGGACTTCCAAGCCAGCGGCGCCTTCGGACGCAGGTTCTTCCGCGTGGACACCGCGAAGCTCGTGGACATTACTATTGTATGAAGACTACGGTGTTTATATTGTTATTGTGCAGACGTGCTATGACCAAGCTAGAAGATAGAACCAAGCCTCATGGTGAGAACCCTTGGAAAGGAAGAACGGCAGCACATTGCTTCAACATCCAAGGGCCCTCGAGATATAAGGCCCACCAGCGTACGGAACCACCCGTTGTAGCCCGCGTAGCTCAATGGTCAGAGCGTTGGACTTTTACGACCGCGCGAGGAAGTAACGGGCATCCAAAGGCTGCGAGTTCGAGTCTCGCCGTGGGCGATGGGGTTATATATGTGTCCTCTTTTTGTGGTTTAGCTGCGGAAACCTGGATGCCACTATGTACCTAAGGTATGTAGTATAGGACTTGGATGCTATGATAGGTATGTAAGTAGCCAACGGATATATGGTATAAGATAGATCATCTAGAGAGTCTTGAAAAGAGCTCCTTGGACGGATGCCTTGTTTTTCATTTCTCCATTATGCGTCAAGGCTGTTTGTTTGTTTGTGCTTTTGTGTGCGGTAGGGCACGGAGACTAGGTGCCTAGTGGAGTTGTCGACTTACGTATCCCGGTAGCGCTGCCCTTTGCCGTTTTTCACGATGTTATCTGTGGAGTCAAGAGCTCCTCGGCATGAACTGGGGGGCCAGAAGAGACAGACTGTTAGGCCCTTCATGACTAACTTATAGAAGACGAAGACAGACCAATCCATAAAAAGGCACGATAAAACAGCGCAAGGGCCGCCCGAATCATAATAGAAGTAGCAGCCGGTTTCATCTGTAACCACAGACTCGCATACTCAAATACCTAAAGTACACACAAGTTAGACCTTTTGATCAAAGCAGACCCCTCCCGAGTACCTAAGTCTCACATAGCATGCAGCCGGATGTGAGCAGGTGCATGACTCTTCCATAAGTCCTATCTTCGGTAAGCGGGCGGGTAAAAGACAGTCAGTCCAGCCGCTCTCCCTGTTTCATACAGCTCACTTCAGTGCGTAGTTTTTGTCTTCTCTTAGATACGCCATAAGAACTCCATAGCAATAACGGCCATTACAGTAGCATAAGCAGGTTGGTCAGGCACACCGTCTTGGAAAGCCCCACCTATTTCTTTTCCTCAAAGTAGAATTTGCCCAGCTTGTCTCCGTCCTTCGAGCTTCCTAGAACAGGCGCTCGACTGCCCTCGCCGCCATCAAGTCGCTCCCGGACGATACGCTCGGCAGCTTCTCGCGTCGCGGGCCCGCCCACGCCTTCTCGAAGCGCGCTCGTCCGCGGCTGACCGGGCTGGACGGGAACAGGTCCGCGGGTCGTGGTATCGACGAAGACGTCGTCGTCCGAAGTTCCCACGTGGCCGCCGCCGTCCACGGCCACGCCATCGACATACTTGGCCTGCCGCGTCTCCGCCGCAGCGCTCGCGCTAATCGGTGTGTCGTTGCCCAAATCGCGCATCTCACGGCTACGTATCATGGCTTCCTGGCTCAGCCCAGAACTGCTCCTTTCCAGTCCCCAGACACCCGTCGCCCCGGCCGTGCCGGGCAGGGGTCTGCGGTGATAGATCGGGCCGCTAACAGTACTGTTAGCGCCTTCCCCAAACCCCACCAGGCTCGCCGTGCCATCATCGCTCATGCGGTCCTCGAAGCCTCCAACAGAACGGCTCGCTATGTCCTCGTCCATGGGGTCAATGGCGCCGGAAGTCGAGTCTACATCCATGGTGCGGTAGTTAGTGTCCATGCTCAGGCTGCCGTCCTCGTCGACCTCGGTCAAGTCGGCGTCCATCTCCGTCTCCGCGAACGAGCTCTGCTCGCCAGCTTCGGTCGTGGTGCGCGCGCCCACGCTGCCCGTAGCCGATGCCGTGCCTACTGTGCTCATCTTGGTGATGGCGGTCGGCTGGCCGTTGCTGTCGAAGTACGCGGGCGTCAGGCCCGCCGCGGCTTGCATCTGCTGCGCAGAGGTCGATGTGGGGGTGGTCTGGGGTGAGTTGGCGTTGCCGCCGCCTTGCTGCTGGTTGTTCGGGGCGCGCAGGGTGGACACGCGCTCTAAACCTGCGAGGCGGCTGATGCGGTCGGCGCGCTCGGCTTCGAGGCTGTTGGTTGATGAATGGTGCTGGTGGCCTCGCGGACCTCCGAGACCAACATGGTAGGCATTGCCGCGGTGGCCGTCTTTGATGGCGGTGGTTGAGAGAGCGGATAGGGAGGTCGTGGCGCTGGTTGGAGTCCCACTGTAGATGCATCTAGTCAGTCGCTGCTACAAGAGGGGGATATTGGGATGGTAAAGAAACTAGGCAGCATACGGCATGTCACTAGGCGTGTCCGGGTTGGATGGTGGGGGAGGGATGTTGATGAGCGTCGGTGCAGTTTGTTGCTGCGACATCTTTGCTGTGGTGGTTGTTGAATAGAGATACGATGGTTGGGAGCACGGGATTGATTCCGCGTGGTTTGGATGTCTCAGCCGGGAACTCAGATCGTGGTGGAGGGCAGGATGCGAAGGGAGATGAGCTGATGGTGGTGTAGAACAGTGGTGGGGGCGTCGACGGGGAGAACTGTTCTTTAAATCGATAACGGGCGTAAAGGAGAACGCCTCCTAGCTCTCAGACTGTCAAGCTGCGGATGTCACAATTGAAAGTTTGCCTTGATGATTCTTTGTTGATAAGAGCGCGTATCAAATTCAAGCGGTTCGTGAAGAGAAAAAGAAATATCAATGGCAATGGGTTCTGGAATCAGGATTGGTGTGTCCAAGTTGCTGCGTGTTTGCATCGGCAGCCCGTTGCAAAAGATCCAGGTCCCAGCCCAGCGCCCATTACCTAGGTGCAGCTTAAGGTGGGGGATGACGTAGGGCTGCTACAACTCTTCATTGGCTCTAGTGCTGGTAGATGCCACTTTTAAGTAACGGGGAAAAGGTACCCAGGCAGCCAGGTACGTACACTTAAAGCGACGAGTAGAACCAGACTGTTTAGAAATCGTTTGAAATCCTAAGCTTGCCTACAGGACATCTAGGTAGTTGGCACGACAACTTGCATCCTGATGTATTACTCTTTAAATCGATTTAAACCGTCGCGAGAAAGTGTCAGATTTGGTTGGACAGTCTGGCGAGAATTTCACAAGTGACATGTGAATGTCCAATGTTTTGAAAACGGCACCAATCAATCAATCGACGTCATTGCATTTTCCCCTATCTCCCCCTTCCCCAACCATCCCCTCAGGTCTTCAAGTCAAGTAAACCTTCAGAACACATCAGGGGTAAAGTCGATAACTTGGATCTTGTCAACCATGTCTTTGATACTCGCAACGAAAGCGAGATGAGCCGGGTCTTTGTCAACATAGTAATTTCTGTCTTCTTCATTCTCGAACTGAGCAATGAAGGCGTGAGTTATTCCGCCCTGTTGGCGAGTTAGTCACCTTACTACAAACAACCCCGACAGCGCCCATGGGATAGTAGAGAAAGCGAAACAGGGCCCTAACCGATAAACCTTCGGGGCTGTTGTCTTTGCCCCCGCCGAGCATTTTCACGTATGGCTTCTGAGATGTTGGGTGGATGCAGTTTGCTGCCAGATCCAGCATCCTGCCGCACGCCTAATACAAAATCAACCCGCCGAACATGCCGGTATTCATGAGGGGTTGCTTACGGCTCGTTCCTCCTCAAGAGGTATAAGGTCTTTGAACTTGAACAAGACAATATGATAGATCGCCATGGTGAGAATAGGTTCCAATCATGAAACTTGGTCTATTCAGGAACTAGAGCTGCTCTTATATAGATTCTCGGTAGCTTCGGTCAAATAAATATCAATGGTAGACTGCTGATATGCAATTGACGGGAACATCAAAACTGGCGCCATATCCATTTACTCCGCATTTAAACGTTCAGGGTCAGCCCCGACAAAGGAGTTCCATCACTCCGTTACAGAAACTTACTTCAATTGGTCTTCACGTGTTTTCTCTTCTTCACTTGTAGGTATCCAATGAAATCTTATTGGGCACAGTTGGAGGGGGGGGAGTGGGTTGGAGATGATTCGAATGTAGAAGGTTATTTGACTTTGAAGCTATGCACTTATTCGATAGGTATGCAACTAACCTGCATCAGGTTCGCGTGGCGTTAAGGTTCATATGGAGTCATAATTCCGATCATCAATTCCAACTTCCCAGATTGATGAGTACCTACTTCCCTACAGTACCTAGTCAGCGTCCTCCCAAAAAAAGCCAGGGACCCGTTTTGAAATTTCAACATGCGAAAAGTCGACGCACCCGAGGATGAGGAGTTGGGCGTGTTGGAGGACAAGACCGAGGCCCTCGCTCTCCGCTCGAAACGCACGGAACGAGCGCGGAAGAAGCAAGCAAAGAAGGCCACCAAGCCAAACCGTCAATCGCAGGACCTCTTAAGCCTACCTTATGAGCTCGTGTTTGAAATACTATCTCTACTTCGCCCCAGCGACATCTTCAACCTCCAACGAGTCAGCCGAGTTTTTCACAGACTCATACTGGGCGATGAGACGCAAATCGCGAGGGGTATCACGAGTTGGCGCTATGCCTGCCTGGAAAGCTGCTTCAGGCTGCCCGTGCTCATGGAGCATATCGACCCCAGCATTCGGTCTTACGTGCAGAGCCCCGAGCGCCAGGCGCTTTTAGCGATCCACAAGAAGCCCTACCAGCACATCCAAAGCCCGGACCCAGCAGAAGTCTGTACCTGCCTGACCTGTTTATTGCGGTGGTCGTCCCTCTGTCTGATTGTCGATTTCGCTCACTGGCAGCGGAATCTGGATATTGGAGAACCGATTCCGATGATCCCGCGGGGCAAACACCCCGAATGGAACCAGACGCTGATAGCTTCGAACGCGGCTATCGTCCGCAAGGCCCTGCGCAGTCCACTTTGGCACGCGCGGCTGCTTGAAGCCCACCTAGACTCGACCACGAGATCCATACGCCGACATGCAGCCAACAAGGGCAACAAGAGGCGACGTTTCCGCATGACCACGGAGGACCTAGAGTCGGGCTCGGACTTATTCTTGGAACGAAGCGGTCCGCCGAGTTTTGACTTCCCATTTCACAGGGATAACTACTACATGCTAGAGGCCTACTTACCGAATAGAGGATGGAGTGCAGAAAAGGGGAGGTGGATGTATGTTCCAGCTGAGCAGCACGATATAGACATCGGGTACATCGTCAAGTGGGCCAACATTAAGAACGAGGCAGCTGCTGAAGCACAGGCTCGATGATGAAGGCCGAGGACATCAAAAGCGAGCCTCTTCTTTTCGCCTTGAGTGGTTTGGCTGGTTGATCCATTATGTACAACGCGC